TGGGAACCATACTGCACCTTATTTCTAGGAGGGTCCAGAGATGCAAAGTTGCTTGCCCTCGGCCACACAGTTAGAAATGGATAAATTAAGACTCAAACCTCAGAGCTCTTCACAAGTGGCCCCTCTGCTTATTTCAGCTCACGAGCCCATAATCCAGGGAGGCGCTGAGTATTGTTTGCTATTGAGGCAGGCAGCAGCCTCCTTCAACTGATGGAGTTCATCTAGCACTGATACAAGGATTCCTTTGCCCTTTCCAGGTCTTTTCCTAGTCTCCAAACAGGCAGCCTTAGGTGGGTGCTTGCTGACCCCAGTTAATCTCTACCCCGAACCCAAGAGAAAACAGGCTTTACAAGGCTCACAGTCCCCTTCGGGGGCTGGACGGGTAGGAGACCACCTCCCTTCCCTCAACCTGGCTCTTCCCTCCACAGACCCCTTCAGTGAGCCATAGCCACGTGACCACACAGCTGATGGCCCATGTCCTGCAGTCCCCGCTGAAGCTTCCCAGCACAAGATCCAACACTCACCATAGTAAAATGGATCTGGTTCTTCAGGAACTGTGGGGAAGAAGACAGAGAAGAGGGGGAGACATGTTTCAGTGCTGGCTTGCTGGACATCTTTGAGGACTAAGATGGGCAAGCTGTTTCTTTATGGGACTTGGAGTAGGAAGCCCCTCGATTGTGGATGATACCGCCTCTCAGTAAACACATGGGATGCTCTCCAGACCCAGTCACTCTGTCAGTGCCACACCCTGTACAGTGTACCACCTGCCCAGCTGTGCATAACAGTTCTGGTCCTAGACCCCTCAGTTATTCTGTGAAACACACACGCATGTGCACATACATGCACACACACATACATATGCACACACACACGTACATGCACTCACGTACATGCACACACATGCATACACACACGCACATTCACACACATGCATACACACATACATATGCACACACTTGCACTCATGAACAGTCACACACGCACACATGCATGCATACACATGCACACACACACGTGCACCCTCTGGGCTCACCAGAGCCCAGTCCCACAAGAGGACCACCAGATGGATGTATTGGCTTTCCTTGAGGACTCCCTCAACCCTCCCAGTCATCCCAGGGTCCCTGAGGTTGTGAGGCTGCCCCCTGCAGGGCTCTCCCATTGGCTTAGGCTGCCACCAAAGCCCATATGGGCAACCTGTGCTGACATATCTGTCACCTAAGATACCAGCAGTTTGGGGAGTTGAGATCAATCTTGTGGTAACTTTGTGCTCTTCCGTAAATGGATCTTTCCCACCCCATAAAACAGAAGGCCCTTAGGTCTCGGAGGTTGGGTTCCTCCAACCTCAGATAGTGCACACACACATGTGTGCATGTGTGTGTGTGCATGTGTGTGCCTTTTTCAGTCTCTTGCATTTGCCCTAAACCCCTTCCAGCAGGCTAGGAGAGGAGGGCATGGTGGCCCACACCCATACCCCAGCACTTGGAAGAATGAGACAGGAAAGAGACATAAAAGGCAGCCTGGGCAACAAGGAGACCCTACCACGTAGATAGGGAGCTCAGACATCCTTCCAGTGTAAGATGTCCACCCTGAACAGTCATGGTAGCATACATCTTTAATCCCAACGCTCGGGAGGCAGAGGAAGGTGGATCTCTGAAAGTCTAAGGCCAGCCTGGTCTACATAGTGAGTTCCAGACCAGCTGAGGCCACATCGTGAAACCCTGTCTATAAAGCTTAAATTAAAAGATGTCTACCCTATAGCTGTCAGCTTCTCCCTGCAACTCTCACCACACTCTGCCCTGTCTCCAGCAAATTCTGCAGCTTGTGAAAGGGGGGGGGCGGTGATGACACTGGTGTTTCTCTCCCCCTTTCTGGGTTCTCCTGGAACTGGGAGGGGCTGTGTCTTTAAAGCCGACCAAGATGATGAGTGCTTTAGTTGACTCTGGGGTGTGGAGACCTCCTGCCTCAGTCTACATGTCCACAAGTTAGCAATGCTTCCTAGTGGCCTTCCTCCACTGAGACTTTTGGTACTATGTGTTACCAGTACTACCTGGAGCCTAAAACTGACCGATAGAGCTGGTTTATCTGATGTATCCTTCCCAGGTCTCTGTTCCCCCTCTAAAGAAGTCCTGGCTTGGTGCCTACGTATCTTTAGCATTTGAATTTAGCAAACTGAATTTTGTTTGGTAAATGTGGTTTAGTTTTGCCTTTTTTTTTTTTTTTTGGATTTTTTGAGAAGGGGTTTCTCCGTAGCTTTTGGTTCCTGTCCTGGAACTAGCTCTTCTAGACCAGGCTGGCCTCGAACTCACAGAGATCCTCCTGCCTCTGCCTCCCGAGTGCTGGGATTAAAGGTGTGCGCCACCACCGCCCGGCCCTAGTTTTGCCTTTTTTGGACAGGATCTCACTATGTAGTCCAGGATGGTCCTAAGCTCATATTCCTCCTTCAGGATGCTGAGATGTTCAGCATGCACCACCACATCTGCCTCCTATGTTTCAGGGCAATAGAAAAAACAAATAGTACAAATTTTCCATTTGTGGTGGTGACAAAAAGAAATAAAACCCACTGACGTTTGTTTTTTAAGAAGTTAATTCTTTGAAGGAAAAAAATCTTAAATAAACAGCAATAAAAGGAACGTTCTAATAGGGCAAAAGTCAGATGCATACAGCTGGGACCACTGAGCTGCATTTTAGATTCAGCACAGATTGGACAGTTGGTCTCTGCAGTTCAGTCTGGTTTCAAGAAGTTTTCTGGAATTAATGAAAGAGTAAATGAGTGCTGAGAGGACCTCCGAGCCTGCAGGTGATTGCAGCAAAGGCTGAGGATCTTTCCATCTCCTGGTTTCCCATACATCCCTTCTCCAGGTGCCTGCCTATCCCAACATCTTCCTGGGCTCCTCCAAAGATCCCCTGCGGGTCCCTGACCACGGCAGTTCCAGTCTTCAGGGTGTGGTTGGATTAAGGGTGGAGCCAAGAGGCAGGAGAAGCGATGTTCACTACTCTTGGCCAGTAGCCAGGGAGAGATCAAGAAGGAGGTGGTTGCTATGGTAACCAGGGCATCTTGCGAGGTGATTGGGGTCCTGGCACTTTAGGCTGGGTGGGGTTCTGTGTGAGGTCTGGTGGCTGGGTCAATCTTACCTCCCCCCTTTACCCATGCAGACCTGGCTTCTGGCCAAGCTGAGTGTCTTTGCTCCCCAAAACAGGGATCTAGACTCAGGTGTGTCCACATCGCCGCCCGTTCTGCACATCTCTGATTCTCCCTCTTGTTCTCTGGCAAGAACCGCATTTCCCTTCCCTCCCTCAACAATTCATTAATTTGTTTCTGTAAGCTGCCTGCGAAAAATGCACCGGAGCTTTTCCTCCCCCGGGGTTTCCCAAGTCCTGCGATCCCCTATCAGGGAGAAGGGGATTGGCGAGGCATCTGCCCTCCCACCTCTACCCGTCTGCTGCCATCGATCCTGCTAACCACCACCTCTGCGAAAAAGAAATTCTGGGCTCCCGCCAGACCTGCTGGCTCAATCCTGCCCACCTCTCCCTGGGGTGGCTCCCAGCCTCTGCAGCCCCTCACCCCCGCCCTGCCCAGAATTCTGCAGCTAGGGCTCTGCACAGCAACCAACCTCCCACCCACCCTCTGCCTGCTGGGAAAGAGGTTAGAGAAGGTGCCATGAGAGTGGAATTGGGGTTCCCTCTACCGCTAGGAGCTCCGCAGCACCCCGGATACTCTGCCTTACCCTTAGTCGGGTTCAGGCATCCTAACACTAGCTCCTCTGCAGGGAGAGATCAGGAAGCCACTGAGCCGGAGAATGTTTAAGCCGGTGCACGCAGATCTGGGTTAATGGGTGCTAAGAGCAAATTCAGTGTGTCTCCAAGATGAAGCGAAAGTACATGTGGGCTGGGAATGGGGGGGGTCCCCGACATTCCTTTCCCACCCTGCGCGCGTTCACTGCAGTGCAGCAGCCCCACCCGTTCCCCCTCCCTCCATACTTGTCTATATTCCTCTGTCTCAGTGTCTCTACGTCTAAAAATTTGCCTCTCGTCCTTTCTGTCTGTCTCTCTATCTCTCTGTCTCCTCCCAACTCTGCATCTCTGAGACTGTCACCTGGGTTTTTGTGCCTCTGGCTGTCCTGTTTCTCTTGGTCTCAATCTCTTTCAAGCTTTCTTAGCTCATCTCTTGCCACACCACTACCACCCTCTTCCCCCTTCAACAGTCCCTCTGGTCCTTTAGCATTTGCCTGTCAGGGAGTTCAGGAAATAACCACACTATACTAGGCAGTCATGGGATAATGACCCCTTTAACTGGCCCACCTCAGGGTGCTGAAGTCTTCCAGAACCTCTCTGGCTGCAGGCAGGATCCATCAGCTCCCACCCTTAAATTCCCATCTCTTCCTTTTAGCTTCCACCGCTGTGCTGGACCAGGCACCCGGTTGCCATAGCAACCTGTCCGAGCATCCTTTCTCTTGGGACTGTCACTCTCTAATCATAGGTCCTGTACAGGGTGCCCAAGAAACCTCAAGGGGCGTCAAGGAATGTGCTCTTGGGCTTCTGCCCATGATAGGGGCAGACATTTCCCCTTCCTCTTCCTTTCAGTATGGGATTAACAACACATCCTGTCCCCTCTAAGCTTTTAGATCCAGGGTCCCCCCCACCTCCATACTAGCACCCATTCCCTAGGCGACGCTCACCTTTTGTGGGGCTCTGTGTTGGGGTGGCCATGCTGAGCCGGAGCAGGGGGCTGCTGAATGCTGAGGCAGCGAAGGCGCGGCTGCAGCAGCTGGAAGCAGGACAGACTGATGTGGGGGGGTAAGGTGGGGGAGCCCTGGTAGGGCGGGGGGCCTGTAGCCAATGGGGGCCCGGAGAGCCCGCCCCCGTCCAGGCCATCCCCCCGCCCCCGCCCCCGCCCACTGCTGACGTCCCCGCCCCTTTCCCAAGGGTGGGGGCGCCCCCTGCCGGGGCCAAGGGGGCTCCGGGGTTTTCGCACGAGAGGCACTGAGATCAACCAAGCGCTATCAAGAGGAAAAACCGAGTTTTATTGGAGGTCTTAGCAGTAAGGGGTGTCTGAGAGGCAGGGCTGAGGCAAGGGACACTGGAGGTGGCCACGGGCAAGCAGCTGGGTTGGGAGAGGAGTCAGGTGTCAAGGGAGTCCTGTGGGGGTGAAGGGAGTGAATGGCAAGCAGAGACCCTGAGCTCTCCTCGCCACTCTCCCACCCTGGAACTGTGCCCCTCTGCCTCCCTCCCTCCTAGCTCAGTCCATCAGCTGCAGGACCTGGCTGAGTTTTCCGGAGCCAGGTGGAGGTTCTACCGCCTGCGGGTGGACAGACCTGAGGGGGACACAGAGTTCAGGGTGAGGGGGGATTGGTAACCCAGGGTAACTCCCCGCCAAACCCATCGTGCTGCGCGCCCAGGAAGAGGGGTTCTTGGAAACAGCTGCCCCGTAAACCCCCCGCAGTGTCCACGAACTCACGGCGGATGGAGCTGCGGAAAGTTCCCTCCTCTTCGTCGGGTTCCCCAGTTCTGGGAAGGGACAAGCAGAAGAATTCGAATGGACCAGGAGAATCTGTCACTTCCGGGAAGCCCCCAGTGCAGGCCTTATTTCCCAAACCGCACCGGGGACTTGGATATGGGCACGGTCCATCCAAATCAAGAAGCCTCTGCTGCTGTTTCGGGGTGAGGCAGGAGGTGCTTCCAGCCGGCCATGGTGGAAGCCTCCGGGATGTTGGGGAAGTTGGGGAAGGGACTTAACATTGTTGGGGAGAGGGACAGTTACAGGGTCTTCAGAGACCGTCCTGATAGTACTTGGGTCCAGTGAATGACCCTAAGTCACCTTACCTCCCGTGCCTCAGTTTCCTCATCTGCAAAACGGGATTGATGGTGGTACCCACCTCATCCAGGTGGGGTGAGGGGTAGATAACAGGGAAGGAAGTGGCACCTGGCGCGTGGTGTGCACTCATGCATGCCAGAGGGTGGTATGGAGGCATCTGTGATCGTCTTAGCACGCAGAAGGCATGCCTACGTTGCCTGCGCTTTAAAGGTTTATTTCGAGAGGGATCCTGCGCGAGGATGGGGACTGGAGCTAAACTGGGCCGCCCTGTGAGGTGATCTCATTTCAGCACAGGCAGCTCCTGCCCAGCTTCGCTTCACTATGCCTGAGTTTCCGTCTGCCGAGCTGGTGGGAACCCAGCGCCCCCACTGACTGGGAACTGGGCCAAGTAAAGAGAGGGCTTGACCATCGCTTGGGTCCAGGAGCTTGACTTGGAATTTGGCACACGCTAAGCGCTTAAAACGTGGTTCGTGTTTGACTGCAGGATGGGTGCGCTTGCCGCCTCTCCCCAACCGCCTCTCCACTGCGGGAGGAGCGAGGAAGGCCCGGAAGGAGCACTCACCTCTGCTGTTGGTTGAATTTGCACCGGCATCTCTTGCCTGCGGAGTGGGAGGGTATAGGCTGAGCTTTCCTCGTGCTCCCGCATCCCCAGGCTCTTCTCCAAACTCTGGAGACCGCGGGGGTGGGGCGTGGGGCGGGGCTGGAGGAAGGGTAGGGTGTGGGGGCGTGGTTGAACGTGGGGGCGTGGTCTGGACGGATGGGGTGGGAGACGAGGGGCGTGGCTTAGAGTGGGGCGTGGTCTGTGTGGGGCGAGGCTGGAGTGGGGTGGGATGTGAGAGATGTGACTGAAGGCTGAGCCTGAGTGGGTAGGGCAAGTTGTGTGCGTTGTCGGGAGCGGGCTTGGGGAGGGAAGTCTGGAGGGGGGGTTGAGAAGGCAGGTGCAGACACTCACTAAGGATGATAAGGATGCCCAGGATGAAGAGGATCCCAGCGATGGTGAGGCCGCCAATCCTCAGTGTGTGGTAATCTGTGGATAGCCCCAAGGAGAATGACCGTAGGGGAAGAGGGGTCCAATGGGGAAGAGTATGCAGGGCAAAGGGGAAGAGAGGAGGGGAAGGGAAGGACAGATGTGTGAGAGAGGAGAAGGAGCAGATGTGTGAAAGGAGAGGGCAGGGCAGAGGAAAGAGGGAGAGAGGAAGAAGGGGGGTAGCCGGAAAAGGGAAGGTTGGAGAGGAGGGTGCCACGAAAAGTGGAGGTAGTAGGGGATGGGGCCGCTGATACTGAGAAACCAGTACAAATGAGACAAGGAGATCAAAAGACAGGCAAAGGAGTCTAAGACAAGCAGGGTAGGAGAAAGTGAAGAATGAGAGAGAGAGAGAGAGAGAGAGAGAGAGAGAGAGCATGGAAACACCCAGTCCCTCTCTCCAAACCCCATAGTAGCTTTCCTCACCATAGGTGAATGGATCCGGTTCCTGTGGACCTTCTAGAAATAAAAATAAAAATGAATGTTTGAGTATCTCTTGGGGTTGGTGACAGGGAGAAGCATAGCAGGACCCTTTGGGGCCTCTACCAACCTTCTTGGGCTGGGAGTTTGGGTGCTACAGGACTACAGACAGACTGCCAGTCTATTCTGTATCCTAGCAACCTCCTGCGGTGACCCAGTACCCTGATATCTTACAGGTTGTTCATGCTTCCGTCTACCAGAGACCCAGCTTCTATCCACTCCCCGTTCTGTATAACTCAGGTATCCTCCTCTCTCCCACAGACGCCAGCCATGACCAGAGCCTCTGTGGTGATGCTTGATTTCCAGTTACACGATTCCTTTAGTTTTGGGTCTCCCACCTGGTTTTCTCAGGGACCTTCTCCTCCCTCTAACACCCACAGGGCTGAGGCAGAGGGCATCTCTTTTGGACTCACCTGCACTGGCCATGCTGAGGAGACACACGCAGAGAGCCAGGATGTGGCTGGGAGATGCCATTGCCCTAAGGAGTCAGCCAGGGTCAAGAAATGTCCTCTCCCCTGCTCGCCTCCCCTCCTAGAAAGGGCCTGAACCCACAGGGTTAGGTCAAGGACAGCTGAAGGACTTGAGGGAGGAGTGTCAGCCATTCAACTTAGTTGCCCGAGAAGCAGGGGCTCCCCAGTTTCACAGGAATCATGTCACTGAAACAACTCCATATGGGGATCATTAGTCAGGCCACACAGCAAACACAACATCAAGGCAGGGTGGGGAGACACACAGCCCTCGGGCAGCCTCCCACGGGCCACCCCCACCAACTGTTGGTCCCAGAGTACCCAAACCTACCTGTGTAAGGGAAGCAAGCTGCCTCTGGACACAGGTGGAAACAGACAGCAGGACACGCCAGGGCCCACCTACCCCTATACACCTCAACCAGTGGTCTCTCTGGACCCTGACAGTCCCCGCTCTCCTTCCCTCGGCTGCCTGCCCGCTCTCTCCCTGACCCTGGGTATAAATATCTCCCACTTCACCCTGGAGGAATTCGCTGCACACAGGCCACCATGGCAACAGACCCCCCTCCTGAAGACTCGGGGGGGTCCTATATAACGCTGCTGGGGTGAGGCTTAGCCAGGAGCCCCATCCCCACAGGCTACCCCATCTCCTTTCCTGGAAACTGTGAGAAAAGGGGACAGTGCCCCTCCTTTGGCCCTCCCCTGGATGACATCTTTCATAACAAGACAACATTAGGCAAGTGAGTGACAAGAGGCCCATGCTAGTGGGCCTGAGAGAAGTTAGATGTCTGGTTTAGGGACACATATGAGCACACACACACACTAATATGTGGGTGCACACACACGCAAACACACACCAAGAACAGGTGTGGCTGGAATGGAGTCAGACAACACCCTCTCCCCAAACTGCTGATTGGAGAAACACAGGGTGTAGACATAAGCACATATTCCTCCGGGCCCTCTGTGCCCCAAACAGTGACAGAAACAGACCTACACAAATGAGTACCCAAGCCTCAACCCCAGCCAGGGGTCTCACACAGCAGCCACTGAAAAAGGGAGGAGTCATCGGCTCTCCCGCCCCTGTGCAACCCGTCCCCATGCTCTCCTCCCTCTTGGGTCAGGCCTGCCTGAGAAGCCACAGGCTGGCCACTCTTGTTCCCAAAATAGGCCTCCCAACTAGGGGAGCAGAGAGGCCTGGAGGGAGGGCTGGGCGATGCTCACCCCATTCACGCTGTCCCTGCTGACAGGAGACCCCCAAATATCCAGCTGTGCACCCTGGGAGCTAAGCACTTTAGACCCCCTGGCCCAGAACTGGACGCTCCACCCCCGCAGGCTTCCCTCCTGGCCCCACCCCACTCTTGCCCGTCCCAGCGAGCAACTGAAACTGGAGCCCAGGCTGGAGGGGGGCCAGGGGGCGGCCCCCAGCCCAGACCGCCCTGGCCCGCTAGTTTAACTCTCTCAGCACAGCCCGGGGAGCAGCATGTGGCCGCATGTGGACTGCTGGGCGCGCGCACGCGCGCGTGCGTGTGTGTGTGTGTGTGTGTGTGTGTGTGTGTGTGTGTGTGTGTAGTGTGTGTGCGCGCGCGAGCATGTGCGGGCACGCACACACACACACACACACAACACAACACAAATACAAAGCCTGCTTCTAGACCAAAGTCAGAGAATGTTTTCTGCTAGGATTCCTGGGAATTGGCCCAGCTGGGGCCTAAGGTCACACAACCTAAGTGCTTATGAGGGCACTGACCTCTGACCCAGTGTTCTGCCAGCTTTTGATAAGTAGATTTTTATTTTAAATGTGTGGTGCTTCGATTTTGTATGTGTATTGTGTGTTGTTGACTCAGATTCACCAGGAGTAACACACACGCATACACCAAAGTCACAGACACCTAGCTAGTTCACTAGCCCTCTAACACTAGACCCAAAGCGTGACCAGCATATTTATACACACAACAGCTTATTTGTACACACGTATACACACACACACACACACACACACACACACACACACACACACTTGGATATCTGGGCAGATACAGCTGGGATATAACCACTGAATGGGTCTGGTAGTTCACTCAGGAAGCAGAGGCAGAAAGATCGGGAGTTCAAGGTCAGCCTGGCCTGCAGCGTGAGCTACAGAAAGAGTGACAGAGAGACACACACTCCTCATAAAAAGGACAGTGTTGTGCCTCTGACTACTGTTACACGCAGCTGCACACTATCCCACCCAGCCCACAGGAACACATTCAAAGACAGACTCACACCCAGCACTTGTTCCCACACCACAAGGAGATGAGGGCCACGAACTCGAGCAGTCCATAGGAGTGTGGGCACACCAGCGTATTGATAGTGGGGGCTCCTCTTCCGCACGGCCATCTCCAGCCCCCACACTGTGCACAGACCAGTGGTATATACGGTCACAGATGACATGTGGGCACGTCACGGTCTATGCAGTCACAGACACGCAGGGCCACACGCTCCAAAGCCACAGACACGTACTTGATCTTGAACTTCCTGTTCCCTGAGCTCATGTAATCCTGATGGTGCCATGGGGAAAACACTTTCAACATCTTCACAGGCCCTAAAGACAGAGAAATTGGCACTGCGGGGGTGGGGGGGAGGGAGGGGAGGCAGGCATGGGTTCAAAACTCCTTGCTGTATGACCTTTGACCTGAGCTTTTGAGACCTCACTGTTGCTTGGCTGTCTTGGGCTACAGAATGGAGAAGCCTCTGACATACCTGCAACTCCTGGCCAGGCTCAGAGGGCCACGAACTTGATTTTTTTCTTGTCATCTCCATTTTAGAGACTGGTAAACTGAAGTCTAGATAACTGATTTTCCTTAAGCCTCCCCACTGGTAGAAATGTCCCCAGCCTCAGGCAAACAGCAGCCCAGACACCGTGCTCTACTGACAGGAGCTTAGCCCTGTCATGGACACAGCCTAGTCTCATATATTCTGAGGTCCTACAGCCTTCTTCTACCCAGGCTGTCCCAGCATCCCTGGTTACAGATAACCCCCATGTTTACACAACACCGGGAGGGTGCTGGGGGTGGGGGGGCAGTCAACCTGCCAGGCTAGCTTCCCTTGCTTACAGAGTGGCTCTGAAGCGCTCAGTGCCCCAGGATGGAACAGCTCTGTCCTTTCGATCCTTTGTTGCTGTGTGATGCTACAATGGTGGCAGCCTGTCTGGAGCTCAGTTGTCCCTTCTGTAAAATGGAAAGAACAGCAGGATTCCCCCCATGGAGGGAGGCGGTGTGATTATCTAGAACAATCCACACAAAGCAGTGAAAACTGGTGCCTGTCCTGCAAGGCCGGTGCCCATGGTAAATGTTTGTTTTTACCAAGTTACCCCTGTCTTCACTGTAAGAGCCATCTTTCTCGTGATGTATCGGAAGGAGAACCTGCCAGAATGGTTCAGGCTTGCCACTGTCCCCTTTGGATTCCTAGCAGAAACTTTTAAATTGCTCTCTTCTGTGTGCTTGTTTGTTTGTTTGTTTGTTTGTTTGAGACAGGCTCTTATTTCACACACCCAGGTTGGCCTGAACTCACTATGTAGCCTAGACTAGTCTCCAACCAGGGATCCTCCTGCTTCTGGCTTCTGAGCGCTGCAGATGCCGTGTGCCCCCCACTCTGAGCGCTGCAGATGCGGTGTGCCCCCCACTCTGAGCGCTGCAGATGCGGTGTGCCCCCCACTCTGAGCGCTGCAGACACAGGTGTGCCCCCCACTCTGAGCGCTGCAGACACAGGTGTGCCCCCACTCTGAGTGCTGCAGATACCGTGTGCCCCCCACTCTGAGCGCTGCAGATGCCGTGTGCCCCCCACTCTGAGCGATGCAGATACCGTGTGCCCCCCACTCTGAGCTCTGCAGATGCCGTGTGCCCCCCACTCTGAGTGCTGCAGACACAGGTTTGCCCCCCACTCTGAGCGCTGCAGATACCGTGTGCCCCCCACTCTGAGCGCTGCAGATACCGTGTGCCCCCCACTCTGAGCGCTGCAGATGCGGTGTGCCTGCCACTCTGAGCGCTGCAGATGCGGTGTGCCCGCCACTCTGAGCGCTGCAGATGCGGTGTGCCCCCCACTCTGAGCGCTGCAGACACAGGTGTGCCCCCCACTCTGATTGCTGCAGATGTCGTGTGCCCCCCACTCTGAGCAATGCAGATGCCGTGTGCCCCCCACTCTGAGCGCTGCAGATGCCGTGTGCCCCCCACTCTGAGCAATGCAGATGCCGTGTGCCCCCCACTCTGAGCAATGCAGATGCTGTGTGCCCCCCACTCTGAGCGCTGCAGATGCCGTGTGCCCGCCACTCTGAGCCTTTCTTAGTGCACTCCGCTGTAGGACTGAGGATGTGGCTCGGTTAGCAGAGTGCATCCTTAGCTCTCACGGAGTCCTGGGCTCAGTCCTCAGCACTAGAGAAGTGATCTCACCTGGGAGTGAGCACACAGGCTGATTCCCAGAGGGGGAGGCAGGAGGGTTGGGAGATCAAGGTCATCCATGGCCAGCCGGAGTTATGTGAGGCCCTGTCTAGAATAATTGCCACCACGCCTGCCTGAACCCCAGAGATCAGAGTTGTTTCGTTGTTTTGTTAGCCCACTGAGCAGTCTCCTCAGTAGGGGCAAAGGTGGCATGAATAATCCCATTGACAAATGAGGACACTGAGGAGCAGAGAGGTTGAGTAACTTGACTGAGGTAACACAGCCTGGGCTGGACCCAGGATCTGTTTGGCTCCAGTACTCCAGGGCATCTTAGTGGCAAGAGGCTTGGTGTTCCTCAGCCTTTTGCCCCCAGGCAACTAAGTGGTTGTTTCTACTAAGCTAGACATAACTGGCTCTGTGAAGCTAATCATTTGAAAGTCTCATGCCTCAGTTTCCCCATTTTGGAGCAGGGATTGTAAAGCAGGGACAGTACTGACCTACCTCCCCACTTCACAGAGCTGCTGTGACGTCAATGAGCTAACACGTGTAAAACCTGGCACACAGTTGGGTGTGGTGGCGCCCATCTGTCATCCCAGCACTTGGGAGGCGAAGCCAGGAGAAGTATGCATGTGAGGGCATCCCGGACTACAAAATAAGTCCTGACCGGTCTCAAAACAAGCAAGCAAACATAAAAGACTGGCATATAGCTTGAGGGGCATGGGAGAGACGTCCCACCAGGACCTTAGGTTGGGTTCTGTGTGATTTACATATTTTTCTCATTTAATGGAGAGAATCTGTCTCAGATTCTAAAAGCTTAGCACAGGTGACAATACCCGGTGGTACATATGTCCGCACATCTCAGCCTCCAAAGAAAGCACACATAATAACACGAGGGCCCTGGAGCCGGCTTTCTGGGTTTGCATCTTTGCCCTGCCTCCACTGGGGCCAGCCACCCTGAGCCCCTGACCTGACCTTTCTTCAGTTGTAAATTGGTCATGCAAATGACACTGGCCTGGGGGTCATGGGAAGAGTAGAGCGCTGGTAGCGACGCTTTAGGACAAAGCTCGATAGTTCTGACATGGAAAAGAGAGGTGGCGCCATC